TCTACACGATAACCGCCATGACATCTGACAGTGAGGGATGAAACATTCGACGAGTGCCCGTGAGCAAGCACATGCACTGTGACCAGCTGAAGAGATACGTTCATCCAAACGTGACCACCAAAGACAGGTGACAGGGGAGTGATGGAGAAGGTACGCCAGAAAGAGCGGGAAAGCGGGAGAATAAAGTCAGAGCCAGGGGCTTGAGAAGTCAGTTAGCCCCGGAACCGCTTGAGAGAACAGTTAGGGCTGGACCGCTAGAGAAACCGGTTAGAAGAAAACTAGTGCTGTACTTCGTTTAGAAGGATATGTTAAACTTGGAGTTTAGCTAGAACAGTGATTGAGTAACTCGTAGAGAGACATAAGAATAGACAGTTACAAGATAACGAAGTGTTCATATACTATTGCTTATTGAATTTATGAAGTCTGTGTGACGAGAATATTGTGAATAAACCAGCTCTTGTGTAATTGTTACATCACTGGCCTTGTTCTTAAATACGATTGAAGAGAGCAACGAACTATATTCATTCACCCTTGGCCGAACTAGGCACATCTATTTCTTGGGGGATGTATAGGCACGACTGTGCCACACTTCTTCTTCTTCTTCTCCACTACCTCTTTTACCGCTGTGGGTGTCGAGTGAGATATAAGGTTCTGTCTCTAGCTCTTCTGGCCGCCTCGACCATAGGCATATCGTGTTGTTGTAAAGTTTCTCTGATGTTATCCTTCCATCTTGTTCTTGGTCTACCTCGTGCTCTACGTCCTTCTTCTCTTTCCATGTATGCTTTGTATGGTATGGTGTCACAGGGCATTCTCTCTAAGTGGACAAACCATTTCACTTGCTGTCTTCGTATGTAATTAAGAATTGGTTCTGTGCCGACGTTTTCTCTTATGATCTCATTCCTGATCTTATCTCTTATGGTCACTCCTACAGCCCTTCTCAGACATCTCATTTCCATGGTTACTCATTTTCTTTTATGGTTTGTTGTGAGTGACCATGACTGGCACTGGTAGCACAGAGTTGGAATAAAAATGCTTTGAATAAGATGTCTCTTTGTGCTGATTGGGATTGTCTTATGCTGTAAGAGGGGGGCTAGCTGTCCCAATACATAGTTTGCTTTACTGCATCTAATGTTAATTTCTTTATCCAATTTCCCATCTTCGGTAAATGTAGTTCCCAGATATTTAAACTCAGATACCTGTTTAGTGCCTTTGCACTCTATTGCTATGTTTAGATCTGTCTTCTTTTTTCCTATTGTCATTACTTCTGTCTTTTCAGTGTTGATTCTCATATTATTTGATTTACATTCTTCATTCATGGATGTTAGATGTTGTTGCAATTTCATGGCTGTATCTGCTATCAAGGCCTGGTAATCTGCAAAGAGTAATTCGTTGATCTTAATAACATTTTCAGTCATGGGCTTGGCATTCTTGCAAATACTGTCGATGTAGGTGATAAACAGCAGTGGTGATAAGACACACCCCTGTCTACTCCAGATGTTACTGTGAATGGATGAGATGTTCCCTGATTTATTCTAACTACACTTCTACAATCCCTGTATATCAATGGTTCAATACTCACAAACAATCAAGCCTTCGGCTCTTCCCCCTGCAGTATTTCCTCCTTGCACAAGGCCTAAGTTACTCACTACAACAACACATTCTACAAACAACAGTTGTTCACAGAAAAAGGAGTTGCAAAAGAAAATCTGCGCACTTTCAACTGGTACACAGTGTCTAGACCGCGTCGAAGGAACCCGAGACATTTTTTGGCACGCTGTGTATAGACGGCGATGAAAGACATCTCATAACACCCCTAGAACATAGGACAGCCAGTGGGAACCGTCACGAAATCTCGCTGCCTAACGAGATAAGGTGACTTCGTGAATAGTACCTCCAAGCCTTCCTTCTACAGCTGACCTCTTTGGTAAGGACATTCTCTGTATATGTCATGGGTCCCACTTAAGTGGAGGCGGACAAAATAAGCCCACCACCTCTGAACAAACACATCGTTAAATATCGGCTATTTATGTGTAGTCTGAAATTAGATGTACTGAATTGATAGGTACAGATATCGCTGCCTATCTGCAAATCAAAACACAAAGTGCTAAACCACCTTATAAAGGTGAATGAAGAAGACCATATCAAAATCATGTGATATATGCTTCGGGATACCGAGCTAATATTCAAACTCCCGAAGTGGACAGGAAATGGTAGGAGTAATACAAAGTACACAGAGCTTACGACGTGATTAAAACTAATCTCTATTTCCGAAAACATAATTAAGATTTTTGCAACAACAAAAAGTGCACTGTAGGCTACTGCAATACACATTGTTAAATTAATTTCATTATTAAACTCGAAAAGGTCACTTAAAAGATGTGTTTGTTAATTTCTCTAGTGGATTGATCAATTATAGTAAATAAACGGGGGAAGCTGTGTGGTCTCTAGGCATTGTGTCCGCATTGAGTGCTAGAGGTTCTGGGTTCAATCCCCGGTAAAGCTAGGATTTTTTCTCGTGGACTTGAACTTCTAGTAATTCCCCTTGGTCTCTGGGTAGTGAGATCGGACGCCCGTGTGCATTTTTGCACACGTAAAAATCCCTTGGTCGTTGAAAATCATAAAGAATAGCCTAACGGCGCTGCCCAGGCAAAATGTGGAGTTGAAAATCTACACAAAGTATTTGAAGATCCTCGCCGGTGCTAAAGAGCGTGTGCACTGTGCAGAGCTTCTTCGGACTCAGACTTGAGTTAGAGGAAGAACGTAGCACTTACTCTAAGTTTCTGTCTTGTGCCATGATGTTGATCTGTTGTTCAAAACCTCAAAACCACGGTAAATTAAAGACATTTGGGAGATTATGTAGCCAGTCTTTGTTATAAGCAGATATAGGAAAGGAAGGAAGAGGACATTCGAGGTTCTGTTTTTACTTCCTAGATAAAAATTTGATGCTGGGTAACCCCTGGCGTGACGGCATCCATAATACATTCACAGTCTTATTCTTTTTATTTTTTTCTGTCCCGCTGTTACGTTTACAGAGTTGTCTCCCACTGTCGTAAATAGTGACAGTTAGCTGTATTGTTTATACTTTACGTTTACGTTGCTAAGAGTCCGGCTTTCCATATAATTGTCGATATCAATGCAACATGCTCTGCTACCAGATCGCCCACACCTGAATCGAAATCGGTATTTCGAAATTACACACAATGTTCGCAATATTAGATAGTGCTAGTATTCTTCGAAAAGTGTTTGGATATAAATATCGCGGTTATCCTTCTTTGGGGGGTCGCCGTGGCCCAGCGGCTAGACGCTCGCTTCGGATCGGAAGGTCGTGGGTTCGCTCCCTGGCAGAGCCGGACTATTTTCAAAAATGACCTTGCCTCCTAGGTCGACCCTGCCTTGAGTGGGTACCAGGTGCAGTCCCGGGAAGTAAAGGCGACTGGCGTGATGCCGACCACATCACCCATCTTGTGCCGATTGGTCTATTAAAATATTGCTCTAGCCCTATATGCCATATACGCCTAAAGGCGTGGAAGAGGGTCCTTTACTTTTTTTTTAAACTTATCCTTCTTTGTCAAATTTTCCCAAGGTGTGATTTTTAATAACATCAGGGCATGTCAGTCCTACAGGCTGCAAGCATAGAGCGTAAAGATAACATGAAAAAGGAGATAACACGCCAACCGAACAAACTCTCACAGACCAACAACTGGCTCCCAGCCCCTTTTGGCATGGCAGGAAATGTGGTAGCGGGTAAACTCGCCAAAGATGTACTTTTGGAAAATGGGATTCCCATCTCATATTACAATGAGAGATAAAGGCACTGAACAAGCATACAGTTGCCATACGTGCTGATATTTGCGGACGCATCCCTATTTCACGAGTATATCTGAGTGCTCGCAAACACTGGAAACGACTAAAACAATTAACAATAACATACAAACATTCATTAAAGTTATCTGAGTAGATTAGACGGAGTGAAATTGTATTAAACAATCACTTTACAAGAAAACTAATCAAATTTAAAAAAAAAAAAAAAACTGGCGTTTGATGGGACACTTATTGGTAAAACCTTATAACTACACACACACACACACACACACACACACACACACACACACACACATATACATATATATATATATATATATATATATATATATATATATATATATATATAATGCTTATTTTGCACTAACACCCACGGGCTTAAAGAAAACAATGCAGACAAACAAATAATCGTCGAAGGGAGGATTAAAGGTTGAGAAAGAAACAAAGACGAGGACTTCGTGTGAGCTGCAAGTAATGGCAAAGGATGGGATGGCAAAGGATGGGATGGCAAAGGATGGGATGGCAAAGGATGGGATGGCAAAGGATGGGATGGCAAAGGATGGGATGGCAAAGGATGGTCCAAGTTTAGTTTAATCCATTCCTCAATAGAAGTCGGGTAGAAGATAAAGATGAAGAAGAAGACGATGATGGTGATGATAATGATGATGAAGAAGAAGAAGAAATAGAAGAAGAAGAAGAAGAAGAAGAAGAAGAAGAAGAAGAAGAAGAAGAAGAAGAAGAAGAAGAAGAAGAAGAAGAAGAAGAAGAAGAAGAAGAAGAAGAAGAAGAAGAAGAAGAAGAAGAAGAAGAAGAAGAAGAAGATGAAGAAGAAGAAGAAAGAAGAAAGAAGAAGAAGAAGAAGAAGAAGAAGAAGAAGAAGAAGAAGAAGAAGAAGAAGAAGAAGAAGAAGAAGAAGAAGAAGAAGAAGAAGAAGAAGAAGAAGAAGAAGAAGAAGAAGAAGAAGAAGAAGAAGACGACGAAAAAGAAGAAGAAGAAGAAGAAGAAGAAGAAGAAGAAGAAGAAGAAGAAGAAGAAGAAGAAGAAGAAGAAGAAGAAGAAGAAGAAGAAGAAGAAGAAGAAGAAGAAGAAGTGTTAAAACAACATAGTGTTTATCATGCACTTATAATGAGTGTCCCTCATGTTATATTTTATTTCCACAGTGGATTAGGATAATTCAGATGTCGCATCAAGCGCCCGTAGAGGATGATGATCATCAGTCCAGGAAAAGTGTGCGTCAGCAATCGAATGCTGATTCCACAGAAACTTCTACTGCCGCAGAAAGCAATGACGATGCACCTCCATTCAGAAGCATTGGTGTGAAGATTGTATTGTCGGCTGTGTCTATGCTGTTTAGTATGGCTGTGTCTCCGGTAGGATCTGTACTGTCTCAATACTTGATCCACAGACTGTCAAAAGAGCAGCATCTTAGCAATGCTTCAGCAAGTTACAGTCTTTGTGACAAAGATGTCAATGACTCCAGCGTCATCCAAGCTAATGAGCTGCAGGCCACCGTATGTTACACTTTCTCCTCACTCTTTCTCTCTGTCTCTATGTCTCTCTATCTTTCTATCTAGCTTTTTTCTCTCTTTCTATCTCTCTCCCCCTCTCTCTATATATATATTTATATATAATCTAGCTCTCTCTCTCTCTCTCTCTCTATATATATATATATATATATATATATATATATATATATATATATATATATATATATACTCTAGCTCTCTCTATCTCTCTCTGTCTCTCTATTTCTATATATATCTGTCTCTCACCTCTATCTCTCTCTTCCTCTCCCTCTCTCCCTCTCTCTCTCTCTCTCTCTCTCTATATATATATATATATATATATATATATATATATATATATATATACTCTAGCTCTCTCTCTCTCTCTATATATATATATATATATATTTATATATATATATGTATATATATATATATATATATATATATACATAAACTCTAGCTCTCTCTGTCTCTCTATCTCAATATATCTCTGTCTCTCACCTCTCTCTAATACACATACACTATCTCTCACTCTCCCTCCCCGTCTATGATTTCTCAAAATTGTGAAATGTTTAAGTGCTTGATTTATTAGTTAACAAAAGTCTTATTTCAAAGCACTCGAGACAATCCAACATGAGTTCCCGCTCTCTAAGCAGTAACTAGTTTCTAACGGGTATATTGTAAGTAACTAGTTTCTAACGGGTATATTGTGAGTAACTAGTTTAATAGAAAAGTTTAAAAAGGGCGTGCGGGACTTCTGTTACTGTCTGTTGGCGATGGGCGGGACGCCCAGAGTAGTACCCTCAGAGACGAAAATAGCCGTTTTAAAACTTCCTACTTCACTCATGGAAGACGCGTGGCGTAGTGGATAGACGCACGCCTCCGAGTCCGAAGGTTTTGGGTACGGACCCTAGGAGTACCAGAATTTGTTGTTGTTGTTGTTAATGACATTGACTACCAGGTCGACCAAGCCATGAATGGGTACCAGGAAAAGTCATAGAAAATTAAGGCGGTCGTTGTGAGGCTGACCACATAACCTCAAAGTGCTGATTAGTTTATAAGTCTATCTATCTATTATTAGTCTATCCCTGTCTGCTTCACTGACGGGCATGTCTCACCATACTGAAATTCATCACCGATAAATTTCTATAGATTCCCCCCCCCCCTTTTCCTCTTTGGTGCCTTTCAAAAGTGAGGCGACCATCTGTAAACTATGGAAAGCTATAAAATAGAATGAAAAGTAGATTAACGAGCTTCACAATATAATAAACACAAACTAAAAGTGAACTTTGCGGCCACAGAACTCTCATCAGCACATACATAAATCGAACAAACCCACGCGAATACACAAAATTAACTAAGCTGACGTATCCCTAAGCAGCCAGGTTGATGTCTAGCCTTTCGAAGAAAGAGACACGTGTAGCCCAAAACTAAATAGCCCAGAAATGCTAAGGGCCATAACTAAAGAATTATAGATGAAACTGTGTAGACAGTTCAGTTTCCTAGGTATTAAGATCCCCAAGATGAAAATAAACTGTAAACTATCGTTGTGACCTCCCCAAGTTCGGTTGCACTGTGACATTATAGCTTGATGCCATTACTAACAATATTGACAGGTTACAAGACAATTACATGGTTACTGTAATTTCTGTCAAACTTTCATAGTGTTTATTTGAAGCTTTCTAATATATTAATCTATTCTCCTCGACAGGTATCCACCATGGTGATGTACTACTCATATTTGTCCTCTGGACCAGGACTTGTGTCTGCACTGATTATCGGGGCATACGCTGACGCCATGGGCAGACGATTTACTCTGCTTCTTCCATTGTCTGGTATGACAGCTAAGATTCTGATAATTGTCATTATTATGAAGTGAGTACCGGCGTTGTTTTGTCTAACCCTAAAACTGGCTTTGACTGTCATTATACACATTATATTCTTATACATTACACTGATGGCAAGGACTGGTCAGCTAGTGCTACAGAATCAGAAGTTCAACAGATGATTCATGAAAATTCCCGCCCAGTTGATGTGACTAGTTATAAGGATGGCTCTGTGTTGAGGGGCAGACGAAATGCATGGGTGTTCATAGCAAAAGCGAATGGACGTCGCTTGGTGCAGCAAAGCCTGGAATATGATATAATACCGTCTTGTTTGAGAATGGAGG